TTTGCTCTTGAATACATCTGTGCACCTGTCTATTATATTTCTACATTATAATTGCTACAAAATCCATGCATTGTTTAAAAGGAAGTTTGAGACATTGCAGCTTTAATTGCTTCCCTCTCAGTAAAACATTCCAAGGGCCAGGGCCAAGAGTAAATATGATATATTTTGAAACATAGTTTTTTTCATTAGTAACAGTGGAATTCAAATTAATTTTTTCAAATGTATTTCTTAACATTTTTATAACCACATCAGAGGCAGAGCAGTTTTTGCTTTTAGCTGCATCATTTAACTGTTAATCTCTTTGCTTTTTACTCTGGACAATATCCATCTCAATTTGAGACGAACAAAGCATTTTAGCAGTAGTACAATTATGTAAATACGTTTTTGATTTCTAAAGCCTAATATAGAATAAAATAATCTTTTTTTTAATAACTAAAATAATGAATGTTCACCTCCTTCACCCAATATTTATTCAGCAACTTACAGTCTTACAAAGAAAAATCAGGCACATTAAACTTGTGAAGGCAGTTTTTAAAACTGCTACAATAAAGGACTTATAAAAGGACAATAAATCAAGAATATCAACAGATGCTTGTATTTGTAGAATTAGCATCTTATAACAGATAGGAGGAGGGACCAAATAATTAGGGGTGTGTCACAGTAGAATGACCTGCCTTTCTGCCTGGCAAAGTTCATGGAAAATGGAATAGTAGTAATAACTGTTAAACACTAGGGGGTCTATTCACAAAGCTGCGGAGGGCAGCTGAGTGAATGACCGATCAGAAGTGAAGTGAGCTGAACACTGTTCGGCTATTCACTTCAGGCTGGTACGGCTGATTTCAGCCGTACATCGGCTGAAATCAGCCGTACATCGGCTTGCTTCGTGTGGCTTCGGATCAGCCGAACATGCTCAGCATGTTCGGCTGACCCGAAGTGCAGAAGGAGTTCGACTCAGCCGATCCAACATCTGGATCGGCTGAGCCGAACCTCTGGCAGGCTTATTTTCTTTTTTGGCAGCTGATCTCCTCTCCGCTATATGCGGCGCTCCAGGACAGAAATAATGGTCGCACAAGCTTGCACTGGAATCTTCCACTCCGACACACAGCGGAGGGGGGTCGGCGCGGGCTCAGCGCCTCACTCTCTGCTCCTCACACAGCAGGTGGGCAGAGCTCCCCCCTCCGCACATGGTACTCCCGGCGCTAGGCACAAGCTGGCTCCGGGGGGCTCAAAGCCCGCACTGGGGACAATCGGAGCCGGAATGTGGAGTGCAGTAGCAATACATTTGCTTCAAAAGCAGTGCACACCAGCTAAACAACTAAGGATGTATATACACCCTATCCTAATTGTTTCATTGTGTTTTGTTTGAATGTATCCAAATGAATATACATTTAATAGATCATATCCATGCCTATTATGTATGACCAAGTAAAAAGCTCCATATTCATTATTAGCATTAAAGCAATTTGGAAGCATTACATTGTGAAAAAGCTCTAAAAATTAAACAATAGCGTAATTGTTGTGTAATGAGTGTAAAGCCATTTTAGTTTAGATCATGTGCAGGATTATGTTTTTCTGCCAAATTATGTGGGATTCATTTTCATTTTAAAGAGTTTAAACGGTCACTGATTTCACCCATTTTTAGTTTATTTTAATGTGTTTTTTGTTCTTTATTTTAGATTCTATTATTTTAATTTTGATGTCATGTCATAGAGGCAGATCTGTTCTTCCTCTCAATAAAACACAAAGCTACAAAAAAATCTAACATATATTTCAGTGCATACAAATAAATTACCCATCATAAAAAATGGGGCTGTGTCAAGAATATAGATACTGAACATGTTAAGCCTTAAAAATGTGTGTACTTGTGAAATGGCTAGAAACTTCAATACCCAAAATTGTTCATAGGCGGTGTTTTAAAAGTCTTTACAGGTCATCAATTTAGAGTTAACAGCGAATGATGCTCTAGAATTTTTGCTCTTACTACAATATTTATGGAAATACCCAATGTGTGGTAAAATTGTTGTTTACATAAATGTTAGCATTGGGCAGCACAGTGGCATAGTGGTTAGCACTTCTGCCTTTCAGCACTTGAGGGCAGGGACTTCTGTGATAGTGCACTATGTAAAGTGCTGCATAAATTGTCGGCGCTATATAAACACCTGTAGTAAATAAGTCCTATGTCTGCATTTGTGTATGTCTGCAGGATGATGGGGTTGTTTTTTAATTTATTTTTTGTTATTTTTAATTATTTGATTATATTTTTTAACACTTTTTATTTTGTTTCTCTCAACTTCATTGCTATCACAAGAGGGGTAACAAGCACAGGGGGGTTTCCTTTTACCCTTTTAAAAATCTCTATAATATAAAATAAATGAAAAATCCAACAGGTAGCATAGGATCTTCTTGTAGTGGTGGTAGCAAGTGTGCAGACAAGGGAAATTAAGCCCAAAGATCTCACACACAGAGATCCCTTGATATAAAGCAAAGAGATGATTCAACTCCCCAGCATGAAATATCAGCTTTGAGTGGACTAATCCTTATACATTTACATGCTTTGCATGTACAGTATATGTAAAAAAATACTGTATATTTAGGCTCTTTTCACACCTAGGCATTTTGTTGCTCAAAGCTAAGCGCAACAAAATGCTCCAGACAAAATGCTCCATTCATTTGTATGGCCCCTGTTCACACCTGAATGTTTTGTCATGTGGTTTGTTGCACGTTTTGTTGCACAAAGTTTTCCATTGAAGTCTATGGGACCAAAAAGCGCCTCAATCTGCCAAAAAGCAGCACATGTATTTTTTTCCAGCAACAGGCATTTTTCTGCTTGCAACAAAATGCTCAGGTGTGAACAGGGGCAACGCTTAACTCCTTGTCTTGAGTGTTTTCTCACTCTTACCTTTGAGCGACAAAATGCTTAGGTGTGAATGTGGACTAAATGTATCTAAGCTTTGGATAGCAGGAAAGCGTTGGTAACCCTATCAGGTTTTTATGGCTGTGTCTCTGCTATGAAGATTCACATTCTCTACCTATCCTAGTAACAGTTATCACTTGAACTTAAAGTGAGTAAAAAGCCAAAATTTTGAGTTGTCACTGGTACAGGAATAAATGGGAAGTCATGTTGTGGTGTCAACGGCCTTAGTGTAATGCTCCGATGAGAAATTGTGTATTTACCTGGATAGGATCACAGCTGCAGGGGTCATAACACACATAGAATATTTGTGGAGCAACAACAACATAGGAAGCTTCTTATGGTTACGGTTAACACTCAAGGTTAAAAGTTCATCACGCAGTGATGTACATTTTGGGAATTGTATGGAAGTTCAAAGTAAAGGTTTTACTGAAGTAGTAATATACAGGGGTTGATTTACTAACCTTATAAACACGCCACGAACAAGTATACACCTCTGTAGTGTGTTCCCTCCCAGCATTATCTATTGGTGGAATCTAGACACCTTTATAGTGTGTACACACCCAGCAGGTGTGTTGTGCAAAGCCAAGCATGAATTGCAAGGTGATGTTGTGTAAATTAGCTCTACATTGTGTTGCTTGCGTTGATGAATGCAGGAATGTAAATGCATGAGCTAACCATGTTTGTCTAAACTGTGAAGCAGCATTATATATGCATCACGTGCATGATTTTTCCATATATGGCATTAATGGAAATATGCTTTTAGAGACTTTTTGGTTGATAAATACGTTTTGCTGTGTAAAAATCACACGCACCTAGTGCGTGCGTGTGTTTAGGTTAGTAAATCACCCCCACAGTGTTCTTAGTAGTATACAGGGTTCAAGGAGTGTATTACCTCATACACCCAATACAGCTGTATGCAGTACAGTACATAGGATTATGTGTTCCTTCACACAGGGGATTGAGTCAGTGTATATAGGTTGAAGCTTAAGAAGTATATCCAGTACACTACAAGTAGGCACACTTCCTCCAGTACATGTATACATGCAAAATAGTACAATCAATGCTGAAAGAGTGGATATTTGCAGTTAGCAACAGAAGCAGTTAGGATTCAGCAGATGGAGTCAAAAGCATGGGACCATTCGATGAGGTGAGTAAGTCGCATTAGGCAGGAACATTTCCCACACTAGTTGTCCAGATTCAGATCAGGGCCCTTTAATATGATAGCAGGCTGCTGGAGGTGACTCAGCAATCAAGAGGCTGCCAGTTCTGTGCTGACAGAGTCGGGAGATTCGAAGACAAGGTGTAGGTGTCAGAGTGGTGAATTCCTCAGCGTCATGCAACATTAACATGATGCCAAGCAATTCAAATTCCACAGGTTAAATCTGACAGCCGGCTGGAAGGAGGGACAGCTTAAAGCGCCGGGATTGGTTGGCGGCGGACATTCTCTCTGGCCCACCTCGAGGAAAGTCTATCATACTGAGGGAGGATCGCCTACACTTTGGAACAATTTAGTCTCCCTTCTTGCTCTGTCTACAGCAGAGGAGTGTGGTGCAAAAAACTGTGGTTTTAACTATTCCCTACTCTATTCAAAAATTACCAAAATGGTTTTAGTTATAGGTTATTATGACTACAGTTCTGCTTTAATGTAAGTTATATTATTTTCCAGTATTTACTTTGAAAATACTCTTGTCTATATTTTTTCTACTTTATATGCTTTGGTTAATGGTGTTCAAATTAAGCTATTTTTAACTCCATTTGACTTAACTGATCTCCCCGCTTTGTCTGAATTTGGGAAACAATGGTACATGGAAGAAAACACATAGTGCTAAACATTGATTTCCTTGCAATGCTGAAGCCTCACAAACACTCACTACATGCAAGTAGCAATATAAACCATCCCCAGTACTCATTGGAGCAGAATAATATGTATTTAAATGTTAAAAGGTACATGTTTTATTTCTTTGAAACATCACTTTAAATCAAATGTGTGTCATATTTTGTCAGTAAATGCTTTTTTGTGTGATTGTTTATTGTATATTACTGAATAGTTTCTATTTTGGTATCGTAGGAGCTGCAAGCAGAAATTGATGACCACACAGAAGTATTTCATTCTTTGGATGAAAATGGTCAGAAAATGCTTAAATCACTAGAAGGATCTGAAGATGGAGCCCTTCTGCACAGGCGGCTGGAAAGCATGAATATCAGATGGAATGAGCTCAGGAAAAAATCCCTTAACATCAGGTAATGGGCAAAAATAATATAAAAGATTAAACTTGACACTGCTCTTGTTATGTCTGACTCTTTTCTTTCCTGGACACAGAAGGACAAGCACACAGCTTGCAGAAGCTGACTAAAAAAAGTGCATGTTTCATTTTATTGTCAATCTAAAATATACTTAAGGAACATTTTCTGGTCACTCTCAAATTACAACAATACATTCTACACATATTTCTGAATGACATTCACATGTTTAAGTATTTTGGCAGGCTATGAACCTACATTTACACATGTAAATTTAAATATGCTTTTATTTTTTCATGTTATTCTTAAAATTAATGATTCTTTTGATCATGTAGAGCAGTGCTATACACTAAAGAACATTTTACACTTACGTCTGCCATGAACTACCATGCCATGGTCAACTACTCTCCATTTTGTACATACCAGCCCATGTTAATACACATAGACAATCTTTTGTAAGAGGAAATTACCTATAGTTTTTATATATTGGTACTACTGTGTTGCTACTACACAGTTCTGGTTCTGTTTTAAAGGCCAATTGGCTAAAGCAGTGGTTCTCAACCTGTGTAACCTCAGGACCCACTTTTGTCCTTTGTCATTAAGTCGCGACCCAAAGATAATTTAATTTCTGAAACATTATCATTAATTCGACAAAACAACTTGTGCAGTACTCCACAATGTATATATGCACATTTTAAACAGTTTATTTGGTGTGGCAGTGTAATTATATCTTAAAATAACACTTAATAATAATTGTTATTGGATAATAGTTGGTTTGGATGCAGAGTGTGTGGGCACTCTGGGTCCACAGAGTGTGTTGGTGCTGTGGGTGCACAGTGCATGTGGGCGCTTTGGGTGCACAGTGTGTGTGGGCACTGTGGGTGCAGAGTGTGTGTGGACACTGTGGGTGAAGAGAGTGTGTGGACACTGTGGGTGCAGAGCATGTATGGGTGCAGTGGATGAAGAGAGTGTGTGGGTGCAGAGTATGTATGGGTGAAGAGAGTGTGTGGGCATTGTGGGTGCAGAGCATGTGTGGGTGCTGTGGGTGCAGAGCGTTTATGGGCACTGTGGGTGCAGAGTGCATGTGGGTGCTGTGGGTGCAGAGCATGTGTGGCTGCTGTGGGTGCACAGTGTGTGTGAACGCTGCTGGTGAAGAGTGTGTGGGTGCTGTGAGTGCAGAGCAAGTATGGGTGCCGTGGGAAAAGAGAGTGTGTGGGCACTGTGGGTGCAGAGTATGTATGGGCACTGTTGGTGCAGAGCATGTATGGGCGCTGTGGTGGTAGAACGTGTATAGGCAATGTGGGTAAAGAGTGTGTGGGGGCGCTGTGGGTGCAGAGTGTGTATGGGCACTGTGGGTGCAAAGCGTGTGTGGGCGCTGTAGATGCACAGTGGGCTTAGGCACTGTGGGAGAAGAGAGTGTGTGGGCACAGAGCATGTATGGGTGCTGTGGATGAAGAGCATGTGTGGGTGCTGTGGGTGAAGAGAGTGTATGGGCAGTGTGGGTGAAGAGAGTGTGTAGGCGCTGTGAATGAAGAGAGTTTGTGGGTGCAGTGGGTGCACAGCATCTCACCCCTCACCCTGTGGCCAGCTCTCTTCCTGCTTCCTCTACTCCAGCACTACTCTAGGACCAGCCCCCCACACTGCCCGCCCTTCTTTGCCTTAGAGGGGGAGTTTGCATATTAATGAACTACCTCTGCATTCATATGCAAATCACATGGAGGTTTACTAATATGCAAATCCTGCAATTTCCATATAAATAAGCATTGGGCAGTGCTAATGGCACTTGAGGCTGGCCGAATGTCAGGAGAGTAGAGCCTGCTGCCTGAACAACAGAAACAAGCATTCTGGCAGTCCCTGTCAGTAGTGAAGAACAAGCTCCTGGGGATCACCTCACCCGGGAAAAAATCCCAACCCCCTTCCGCCCAGAGAAGATGAAGAATAGAACGTGTCAATAGGTGGCAACCCTCCACTCCGCCACCCACTAAACACAGGGCTGCAACCCACTTTTGGGTTGCGACCCACTAGTTGAGAACCAGGGGGCTAAAGGATAAAGGATTAAGTAATGTTTGCATTACTTAATACTGATACTTTAAAATCACTTTTATTGTTATGGTACATTTTCAGAAGATTAAACAGAGTAAATTGATTGGAGTTTTGGTAAGCACTAGAAAATGTATGTTTCTCGTAATTTTTTTCAGTGTTTCACTGAATTGGGTAGTGTTGTTTAGTGTTATTCCTTGTCATTCAGGTTTGATTGTAACTTTTTGTTTTCTGTAATGAAAACTAACCACTGACATATTTATTGAAAAATATACTTATCTTTCAGCATGAATTAAAGTTGTTCTGTTGCTAGATAATATGTCCTATCCCTATTACACCCAAAACCAAAAAAATATATATATTGCAGTTTACCAATGTGGTGGTAGATGTGGTGGTTGCAATTTATTTTCCTTTACTTTCACCTGGAGACACTGCCAGGAACACACTTCCTAGTTAGGGTGGTTGCATTCAGTCCTCCTCTCTATGGAAGAGCAATGTAGCCAGCCTTAGTCAACCTGTGGAGTGAGCAGTGTTAGATGGACTAGTGAATTTAGATGGACTTTACATAAGTGACTAACAACATTTTTTTTCGACCCTCTGTCTCATACTTTTGCTGCACAATATTTATAAACAATAGCAACTTTATGGTAATTTTACATGGAGAACAAATTTTACAGCTGTAGCTCAAAGGGGATTGTAACACCAGTGTATTATACTGTGTGTTTGTGTGTAAGTTAATGTGATGCTCTGTGTGCTCTGGCTTTCACTTCCAGTAGCAAGATACCTATTTAACATTTCATAAGCTTAATATTGGGCCACCATTGTAGACTTTCATCTGAAAAGTTAATTGCCTGGCTACTATAATCACCCACTGACTTGGAATAACTATGCAATTCAGGAAAGTTAGCGGAAAATCACCTGCATACTGTTCCAGGTAAGTAGCGTAAAACATTAATGTCTATGTAAACCTGTTTTAGCATTTCTTATTTGCTCCCTTTGGTCTATTTAATAAACCATTTGAAGCATCTGTTTGATCTGTGTGATAAGTGCAAAAATAAATATTGATCTTGTACAATATGCTCTTCAAACATTGGAATGGAATGTTCTGCCCAGCCATATGCTGTTCGCATGGTACTATCGCCCTTAGGTAAAGCTACATATAAATCAGCCCCTTTGTGTGTCATCTCAAAGAGCCCTAAGTCTTATCCTAGACTATAAAATAAATGGCATTTATGTTGTAGAAATCTGAGAATTGGAGTGCTACTTTTAGAGAGCAGGACTGACAACACTTAGCCCACAAACAAAGCTGTGCTTGAGTTTTTTTCTGGCACATTGAAATACATTTCTCTCTACTTGCATGTGAAAATGAGCATGTATGAGCAGCACAGTGGTGTAGTGGTTAGCGCTTATGCCTTGCAGCATCGGGGGTCCTTGATTTGAATCCCAGCCAGGTCACTATCTGCAAGGAGTTTGCCTGTTCTCCCTGTGCTTGCGTGGATTTCCTCCGGGTACTCCGGTTTCCTACCACACTCCAAACACATGCTGGTTGACTTCTGTCTAAATTGGCCCTTGTATGTATGCATGTGAAATATGGACCTTAGACTGTAAGCTCCTTGAGGGCAAAGACTGTTGTGAATGTGTAACTATGTTAAACACTGCGTTAATTGCCGTTGCTATATAAATACCTGAAATAAATCAGTGTATTGCAGAGATGTACGTTTTTGTTTTTTTAAATTTTGCCTTGACATACACTTTGATGCAATAGGGTCAGTATTGTAGCCAGGCAAATAACAAAGGAGTAATGGTTAGAATGGCGTGTTCCTTGCTCTCCAATCATAGGTTTTATTTAAGACTTTATAAAAGCACTATATTTTATCTGATATTCTAAAATATCATAATCCTTATGACTTCTTCCTGGCACAGTTATAAATCCCCCTTATATGAAATGTACATCATTCATGTTGCTAGTTTAGTCATATAGCTTACTATAGCCATGTTGCCAAGCAACTAAAATCCTAAGGAATTATCTAGTTTGATATGGTTTCTTTTTAAAAACTCAAATATATATATTTTAATTAATGAAAACCAGAGTCATTTAAAAGTGTAAACATTAATCTAGCATGTTCAATTGAGCAAGAATCATAAGGGAAATATAAGTCTTTGCCAGCAAAGCATTTAATTATCTAAATTTTAGCAGCCACAAGTGGTATGAAGTATTTAGTAAAAAAAGGTATAATTTTTTTAGCAGTGTAAGTAATTGGCACCATTTTAGAAATATAAGCTTATTCATTTACTGTGCATGCATCCTTACAATATTAATGACAGTGTAGCAAAAATCTGTATCCTTATCTGGTAGAATATGGTCAGCATTAGTTAATATGTGATAGTCTCACCCCCATTTGATAAACATGACCTGGAGTAAAAGCTGAAAACCTGAACTTTGCCCCAGGTCTGATTTGCCATGCCTTATTCCACAATGTCTTCATATGTGTCTCCATGGCCATCTTAGTCGAGGAGCAGGGCTTTGCTTTCCAATATCAGACCTGCCCCCCAATGACTTGTCAAATGATGTTATGAATAGTGAACTAATATCTGATGGGGAAAGTGATCAACTGGCAAAAGTGGAGGAACGAGAGAGCAACAGCACAGAATGTTGAGGTATTAATCGGCAGCAGGAGAGGTGGAGAAAAGTAGCAAAGATCCACAGAATGAATAATGAGGGAACAAGGATAACCTTGCACATATGGTCCTTTTTAATAGGCCTTCAGGGTAATAATAGGCAGGACAGTAGTGACATCACCAACTGCCATTATGTGATCAGATAATCCAAATCAAGTGATAATCCAAATCACCCTTCAAACAGAGGAGTGCCTAGGTGCTGTCACATGTCAGGATGCAGTCTGCAACTTCTTGTGAGGCATTCAAGGCAAACAATAGATTTTTAGGGTACTGCTTAGTCACAATTAACCTAACTAGATATTTCTGATAACATAGCAAATCTTCACTTTGAGCTTATGTACACATTAAACTATATCTGAATAGACACAACCTAATTTAATAGCAAGTGCTTGTTAAGTAAAGTTGTCTTCTGTGGTCATGTTTAGGGGCGACCATGCACTGTGCGAATTTTGGCCGGTTCTTGAGTAACTGGCCAAAATTCACCCAATGGGTGCCACTGTAGGCATGTCATCAGCTGATTGAAAGTGCCAGATGGAAAATCTTCCTAAAAACGGAGCGGGCAGCCAATGAGCTGTTCAGGTATTCTGACATTGGCACCAGCCGCTATCAGAATACAATGCAAACAACAGAGAATCCTCGATCGACACACTTATAGTGTTGACTGGGGAATCTGCTCTATTTTTTTCATTCAGTCTGTGGGTTGAATGAGAAAAACTGAGCAGTGTATGGGCAGCTTAAGTTTACGTATGAAAATTACCTTTTTGTAAGCAGCTATAAATACTCATAACAAACCATAGACAAATGTAATTACACAGCCGGCAGTGAGCTTTACATTCAAGCGATCGGGCGTCTCTAGAGACGCTAGATTGCTTGTATTAGCAGCTGTCACTGCTGTTTCCGGTCCCGAGATCCGCTGTGCCCGATGCGGCCGGGACCGACGCGGCTCTGTGACAGTATACGAACTCCCTTTGATCTCCTCTCAGTCCCCAAATGCAGGAAGTGATGTATGTTACATCACTTCCTGCATTCAGTGTCACTCTCCAGCTACAGAAGCTGATGAAGCAGATCTCTGCTTCATCAGCTTCTCTGGGGGTCCCTAGGTGACATTAGGGGTCTTGGAGACCCCTGATGTCTCCATAAAGAGGACCTGTCATGTAAATTGGCTATTACATAGGGGGCTTCTTAGCCCCCCTTGTCATAGCAATAAAGTTGTGTGTAAAAAAAAAAGTTATACAAAAATTAAAGGAGAACTATGGGGTTAGGGCTTTTCCAGACAGGAATATAACAGACACGCTCCTCAAAGGATACAGCTCCAATGTACAGAAGTCCTAGCATTGAAAACAGCCACACCAATGTCACCGATGTATAGAACTAACTTTATTTCAGCACAGTATTGCCTCTGGTCCGCTCTTCTCTGACATGTTTCAGCCAGACATACTTAATCGTAGATGCGTCAGTGAGGGACGGACTGGACGTGTAAATTTGTGGCATAGATGGAGGTGAAATTATATTGATTTTATACAAAGGAATATAACAAAGTTTGAAATATGGTAAGGATTCTTTCATTTATGATTTGAGCGTTTAGAGATTTAGCATAATGATATTTATACAGCTTTTATGAGGGGAGTAGAGGGGTGACGATGGCAACTGATGTTATGCTTATTTACAATCCATTAAACAAGCAGGAAGGTACAAAGCTACAAACCCTTTAACAGTTAATTGTATGGTTACCTAGCTAGTTATGTGGTGTACCAGTGGTGTGAGTGTCTCAAGACTACCTGAACAAAATCACAATTTTTGGGGGCGGGTTAAAGTGTTTACATGTATGTATGTATGTATGTATGTTAAATGCGTAGTTAGCTATGTGGCTAGATCTTCATCTTCAATCTGACAGTTCATTATTACAGCAGTGGAAAGTGTCTCAGATGTGCACAATCTAGAATAACAGTATTGCTAGCATATGCCCTTGTGCAAACCCAAACAAGGCAATTGTTAAAGGAGAACTGTGAGGTTAGTGCTTTTCCCCATAGTTCTCCGAAGGGTAACGGGAGGACACAAACTAGCATCCTCCTGTCACCCAAAGCTCAGTATCTTGCGGTATACTGAGACGCCGCAGCTGGAACGGATCCCGACAATTATGTCTGGATCTGCCCAGCTGCTTGAGTACAGCTGGCTCTGCCTATCTAGAGGCAGAGCCAGCTGTACCCGCCCCCTGCGCTTTTTTGCGATTTTGCGGGCGCACGCAATTTTAAGGATTTTTTTCATTTATGGTACTTTTTTCATTATATAGTTTAAAAAAATAACCCCCCCCCCCCACACACGTGGTGATTATATACCTCCAAAAGAAAGCTCTATCTGTCCCCAAAAATGTTAACATAAATTGCCAGGCTATAGTCCGGTCATGCCCCCCCATTCCCCTGAGAAGCTCTGCCATTGCAAGTGACAAGGAGAAGCTTCACAGACATTGATGCTTGCCCCTTCCCCCACCATCACCTGGAGAGGAAGAAGAGGGCATGAGAACAGAGCACATCGCCACTGTAAGTCCCTTTTCTATCTTACATCGGTGACCTCCGCACTGCGTCACATTACTGACCTCCACACTGCGTCACATTACTGACCTCCGCACTGCGTCACATTACTGACCTCCGCACTGCGTCACATTACTGACCTCCGCACTGCGTCACATTACTGACCTCCACACTGCGTCACATTACTGACCTCCGCAGTCTGCATTACATTACTGACCTCAGCACTCTGCGTTTATTATTATCGCTCCCTCCACCCCTCTGCTGGGCCCGGCCGGCAAACATGTAGGTTGGAAATTCAGACGTTTTCAGATATTGCTTTCTACATGATTGCTCCAGCTCAGTGACTCACTGAGTAGTGAAGCTAAGATCCGGATGACAGACCTGGAACCTGCATCTTTAATAGTAAGTCAACCAAGGCAGTTCCCTTACTTGGGTTTCTTCTAAATCAATAATAGCATTTTTGCTCATATTTTGCTGTTTACATAATGTTCCTACTAATTGAACTCTGTCTGTTAATTGCTATAATATATTGCTCATCATGGTAACAGTGCTTGTGACGCTGCCTCTTTTCTTCAGCAATAAATTCTCATCAAAGAGCAGCTCACACATTAATTATTACTCCTCATCTAAAAGAGAATGGTATCATTATGAAATGAGCTGCACATCTGCCATGATCTTTCTCCCCCTGACAATAATGTGATGCATAATGTCTTGTAGGTCTCATTTAGAAGCCAGCACAGAGCACTGGAAGCGATTACACATCTCTCTGCAGGAGCTTCTTGCATGGTTGCAGCTAAAGAATGAAGAGCTAAAGCAGCAGGAGCCCGTTGGTGGGGATGTTCCTAAAGTGCAAAGCCAGATTGACACGCATCGGGTAGGAGGTTTTTTTTTTCATTGTTTTCTAGTGTAAAAACAGCATTACTTCAATGAAATCTGTCATAATACAATCACAGAAAAAAAGACCTCCTGTTTATTTCAAGGGACTATCGGATGTAGATGTTTATACTAAAACAACAAAATAATCCAAAAATATGTTCACAATTTGCAAAAGTATATATGGACCTTTTTTTATAAAGCTTTCTACAAAAGAAAAGTGGATATGCTCCTCTTAGAGGTAAAGCTTAACTCCAGCTATAAAGATCTATATATACTTGCATTAGTCCAGCTTGATACAATGTAAGTATATGTAATTTATCTCTGGTAGGGCCATGGGGATCCTGTAAAACACTGCAGTAGCTGTATCTACTACAGTGTTTTAGAGCAATATTCTGGGTTCTGTACTACACCTGTGCTGAGCCACTTTTCCTCTGCTGTGAAAACATAGAGGGTTGTTCACTTGACACAGCAACCATTCAGGGAACACATAGGCAGCCAAGTGAATAACCCAGCCAAAGTGAAGTAAGCCGAACGTTGTTCGGCTATTCACTTCTGGCTTGTACGGCTGATTTCACAGCATCGTACTTCGGTCAGCTGCACATGCTGCGCATGTCATTTGGGGATGCTGATCTGTCATTAGAACTGAGGAATTAATCATCAATGCTTGCAATTACAAAGGTCATTGAGTGCCTATTTTAAACATTTTAAAAATGTTTTACTGCTTGCCCAAAATGAAAACAATTCACTGCAGATAGCCTGGCCACAATTCTACTTTAACTTTTAGTGTCTTCAAAACAAGATATTGATTTAGTTTTCCTCTGTCCACAGTAAGCTCCCCGTGGGTAAAAAGGGGGGCATTTCAAACAAAATAACTGCTTTTTAAAAATAGAGTTGTGTTATGTGTCACCTCCCCTCCCTACCTGCCATGAGCACAGAAGCTGTTGGATAGCAATGTGTGGATAGGATGGCACACCAATACAATTATCACTTACATTGTTTTCACTAAATCCCTCTTGTATTATCACTTGTGTGCTGAATGCTCAAAGCTGAGTTGAATTGAAGGATGTTGGGCTTCTCACGGCAGGGGAGGGGAGAGTCCTAACTACTGTACATTTTCTTTTGTTTTTGCATGGAAACCACCCCTGTACCCTGTACCCCTTTATTCAGGCAATTAAATTTTTTTGCTTTAGCAGTGGTTTCACAACAATTAGTTGACCTTCTAAAACTAAAGTGGACCTGTCATTATTATTAATACCTAAGCTCATTACTATTTAGGGCAAGTAGTGGTTTCCATGAATAAAAAAACACTGTTTTGCTTATCTCTCATGTGATCTAAAGGCTAGGCCAAAAGTTTGACCTCTCTGCAGACTTGCAGTGAAACAAGTGGATCATCAGGAAGCAAAGCCTTCATATAAAAACGGATGTTTCCGTGTACATACTGTATATAAATATTATATAATCTCCACATTGAAACAAAGCTTATAACTAACTAAACACACTTTAAATGATTTACTTTTACTTCTACAGAATAAACTTTTGCAAAACACAGATTATAAAGCAAATAATAGGTTATATACCAGAAGAAGCATCTCTTTTTGCCAATGCACAGTCCCTTTATGCCACTAAGGAATTCAATTCCATTGAAAGGCCCTTTCTCCAAGCATCTTTAGGACACCTTGTATTTGGCCCAAAGTTCTGTAATTGGGTTTCAGTGTTGTGTGGCCATTCACGCTCTTAGATATTTGTGAATGGTATGTTATCCCCATCCTTGTCCTTGTACATGGGTACTAGATAGGGCTGCCTATTATCTCTATTACTCTTTGCTATAGCTTTAGAGCCCCTAGCCATTAGAAGCGATCGGCAAGTAAGAATTGAGGGTATTACACTTGGGGTTTCTTCATTTAAATATCTAGGGATAATCATTACCAGTGATCACATTCAGGCAATTGCGTTCAATATAGATCCCCTTATGCAACATGTTAAAAGTAAATTACTGACCTGTGCAAAACTATCTTTTTTGGTTGGTGAAAGAACCAATCTAATTAAAATGATACTGTTACCAAAATGCTTATATACAGTATGTTGTTGCATATGCTGATAAAAATCCCCAAAACCTGCTTTACAGAAAAAAACTTCCAATTTACTAATTTTATTCAGTATCATTTCAGGCGGAAGCTAAAGCTCGCTACTTCAGAAAGGCATAAATCTGAAGTGGACATGGCTCCCCAGGGTATTTCTGTATTACTTAGCAGGCCAACTAAGTGCTGTTTTTTATGACTCCTTGCAGGAGAGTACTACCGCTCTCCTTACTGGTATGACCATTGGGGTGGATGCTGTAGTGACTGCGGATGGCGCCGCATCAGATTCAAGTAGTAAAGTATGCCACCAGCACAGCAAATGGTTACATTTTCAACAAAGGATAATTTTATTGATGCACACACATCTCGTCACATAGCAACATTTCGGGGCCACTCTTGCCTGGTGAAGGGGCCCTTAGTGGCCCCAAAATGGTGCTATATGACACGATGTGTGTGCATTAATAAAATGATCAAATGATCAATCAGTTTTAATCACGGTGTGCTGGTGACATACTTTACTACTTGTTATGACTCCTGGCTCAGCTGATGCTTACCGGGCTAAGGTACTTAACTTACCTCAATTACTCATTTATTGAATGAGTAATTGATTGCCCAGGTTGTACATACCCATTATGAACTTGGCTAGATTGGTTTAAAGAGTTATAAAGTTAGAATTTTATCCTTATACACTGACCTGACACTATGGGGTAATTTGATTTTTTCTCATCCAAAAATATTACCAGATACACACGTGTGGATGTAGGGGAGTGGTGACTCTCCTGGATGTGTGCAGTGAAGGTACACTGTGTTGCTTTGACCAGATGTGGTCAAAATATGATTTTGAGAAATTTACTTTTATAGATATCTGCAATTACGACCCACATTTAATTCTCAGTTTGTAACTAGGCATGGGCTCAATGTTCGACTCCAACATCAGCAGTTTGTGTGTTCGGCGAACACATGAACGGTCAGGGCGTTCAGCAGGCTGTTTGCCTGCCGAGCGCCTCACAATGCACTGTGTGCATTGGAGAGCCCTGACTGGGTAAAGCAATGCACCTGACCACAGGTCAGGAACAAGACTTTGCCCAATCATGGCACAGGGCTTTGGATAAGCCATGATTGGGCAAAGTAATGATGACTTTGCCCAATCATGGCTCACAGCAAAGTCCCAGCCCCACACTATATAAAGCTGCTTACACGGCAGCCTTATGTAGTGTGTTGCTGGAGTTAAATAGAGGGGGTTTCTGTTAGTGTAGTGTAGTATAGTGCAGTGTAGTGTAGTGCAGTGAAGTGAAAACTAACTGGTGTCATTGTAGTGAAGTGTCAGAGCTTTTCTACAGCATTTAATGCTATACACAGTACTGTATATAGTATTATTTCCTATGCTGTATATTTGCAGTCTTTTTTTGTGTCAGTGGTGTCCCTGGTGTCTCTCCTGCATCACCGGTGTTCCCATTTTTTTTTCTTTTTTCTTTTTTTTCTTGTGTCGCACGTGTTCCCGTTTTTTTACTTCTTTTTTCATTTTTTCTTTTTTTATAATAAGCAAGTGTACAACAGTTTATAGTGCACCAAGCACCACATTTGATAAAGTATTGCACCCAAGCACCAATTTCCAATCCCACATTCTTATAATACAATTTTATAATAAGCCCCACATCATGCCTGAAAGGCAAACAAGCAGACAGGTGTGTGACAGTCAATTTAAATAGAATTTTTAGAGCAGGGTTCAATCCTGCACTCGTCAAGAATAACTGAAGGGTTGCGGTGTGAAGGCACCGCTAACACTAAAGGCCCAATCTTAAAGCACCTGTTGTAACTTTCATCCAACATCTGCAAAAGAGACACCAGAATTTACCCAAAAAATCTTTAACCTTGTTCCCGAGTGTCCTAAAATGTGGCCTCTTCATACAGGCTGCCTCCCCAATTTGTTGTTTACAAGATTAAGGGAAAACCAATTACTGTTAATTTAAATGTAATTTTTTCTTTATAAATTTCATTTTTGCTGCAGCAGGTTCTATACATTGTACAGATGTGCCACTTTAAAGGCAGTTTAAGGGGACCCCCCAGGCACGATATCTAAAGGAATTTTTCATTTTTATTGTTTCACTTTAAGCAATGATAACTGCCCCTAAAAAACTGTATTTTTAAAAGTGTTTTTTTTTCATTGATACATGTCCCCCAGGGCAGTACCCGGATCCCCATACCCTTTTTTTGGCCAATAACTTGCATATAAGCATTCAAAATGGGGACATTTGATTTTCCGAGTTCTGGTCCTTTACATTGAGTTCTAAGTTTGCGTTAGAACTTTTTCCATGTTCGAAAGTTCGAATTAGAACCAAACTCAGGTGTGTTCAGCCCATCACTATTTGTAACCAGTGAGGTTTGGATCTCGTCGCCCCCCAATTGGAATTTTAAATCCCAAGGACCTAAAGTTCTAGTCTACATATTATATTTACACTTGTTACCCACAAAATTAGTGAAGTCCCCCCTGGCAATTAAAAGCAACTGGCAAGCATGCATACCCTCTATCTCAGATGATGAGTAGAAGGATTTCTGTTCCTCAAATCAGCCTGTATTCCTAGCTGTGAATAATAAATATATCCAACTTTATATTGTGCACCAAACTGTGACTGTGACTCCACTGTGACTTAAAAAAATGGGATGTATCCCCACATCTAACTGTTGGTGATGCTCCCAAACACTAGCTGTCTTTGTTCACTTGCTCTGATATTTTCCAGTAATTACTGCATACTGGAAACAAGTAATTGCTAGACTTTCATCTATACTATCACTTCAGATTCCATTCAGCAGTTTAAATGAGGAGAAACAGTACACTTGGATATTTCTGACACTGTTTCTAGTGCGTAAAATGATAGCCATTAAATGGATGCAACCTGCAGCTCCTACGATCTCCAAATGG